CTTTGTTGAAGACGAGGGATTGAAATATTATGAGAAACAATAGACCTGGTCAAAATCTTGACATGATTGTATTCTGAAGGAGAGAAAAGGTAGAGAGCGATGCCAGAGATGCATAGCAACGTGGGTTTCGATTGACCGAGTTTTATAGAAAGTTTAGAAAATTGTCGGCCTACCCTCAAATTTAGATTGAGATGAATTTTATTAGTAAACTTCATTCATATACATGAACATTTTGTTTCACAATACATAAATATAAAAAATATATAAATAATAAATTCAACAAGTGGTACAGTTTCTCGAGTAATCACAAATTAACAATAAACAATGTAGCTTGTATATACAGTGGTAAATGATATTATTACAAATTAATTATATGACACGTACACGTACCGATACAATTCTTTCGGAAAGAGAATATAATATTTATGATTAGATGCAATGTAAAATAACATTTTCATTAAAAAAAAAAATCGTTGTCGAATTCAACACCAATTGAATTCGTTATTGTTTGTATTCATATTGTGGCTAAGTAATGTTTAATTTCGATGTTTTATTTCAGATTTCGTAAGAGGTTTACAAAGCAAATCGACAAATAGGGGGAGGGGTGGGGGCTATGTGAAACTTATTGTAAATCCCCCCCCCCCCTTTCAAATGAAAAATTCCGTCAACTGTTACAGTTGCCATGGTTGTTTACCAGATCTTTCATCAGTTCCGACCAGGCGCGTACGCAGGATTTTTTCAAGGGGGGGGGGGGGGGGGGTTAACATTTAACATTTATAAATCGGGCCGAAAATTTCGCAATAAGCAGGGGGGAGGGGGGGGGGTAAGAGGACACTTTTTTTTTTTTGGTCTCGAAATTTGAAAATTTGACCAAAAAAATGCAAGGGGGGGTTATGGGGGGTTTAGGGGGGGGGGTTTTACACACATAAATATACCAAAGGGGGGGGGGTCAACCCCCACCCCCAGCCCCCTGTGTACACGCCTGGTTCCGACGTTTTAACCGATTGACTCTTGGAACCGGGTGGATCCTGTATTAAGCATATGGAAATTAAACAATTCTGTAGTCAACAGGTTAAGTCACATTATAAAAGAGTGAGATTGCACGATTAATCATAATAAATTCAAGATAATAAAATATGTAGTTCAGTATCTTTAACTTGTCCATTGCATTGCTCATTTTATTAAAATATTTCAGAATTCTTTTACATTCAGAGGCAAATTTATACACTGTTGATTTACTTTTACACAATGTTTAAATAGCATTCCTTTTCTGCATTATGGATTCCTGTGAAAAAAGCGACATTTCAACAGACATTCAATACACAATACAAATTATTTATTAACATAATTCGATCTATATCATTCGCATTGTGATACATTACAAACATAACAAATGAAAAACCAGTCAGCACAGAGAATAGTAAATTAATAAATATATTCAAACTATTCAAATCCTTTTTGCAGAGGAAAGTTTAAACATGTAGAATGAATGTCGCATACAGTTTATAAACCGCATCTTAGCATAAAATCCGAGTTATCCCGGCAAGGTCATCGATAATACTTTTTACTTTCGGGTTTCCTGTTCAATCGTGGACTGTAATTTTGTAAAACAAAATGTGCAGTAATGTTACCGTCTCAGTTTTTTCCTTCGTTTTTATGCATCTCATTTTCAATGGAACTTGCAAATTTTAGTATACGTTGTTTATACTATCATCATTTAACCCTACCACAAATCATTATAATCATAACCACACAAAACACAATTCATAATAAATCAAATCAAATCAAATCAAATCCAAAAATGATGCCTCCGCCATATAGCGCGCTTTTACAAACCAAAAAAGAAGCAATTTTTTAAAATTCTAAAAGTTTGATTGTGATCCATGAACAGGTTCTCAGAATATCGTGATTTCAAGCTATTTTTTACATATACATGTATGACTCTTTGACCTTTGACCGCATGACCCTAAAATCGAATCAGTTAATTGGCTCTGCATGCGAGATACATACATGTCTTGAGTTTGATGGTAATCTATCTATCGGTTCTAATGATGATGCGATGACAAGCTATTTTTTGAACACATAATGAGCCCCATGACTTTTAACGTTTGAAATTATGACCCCAAAATCTAATCAGTTCATTGGCTCAGCAAGATACATACATATCTTGAGTTTGGTAGTAATCCGTCAATCGGTTCTAATGATAATGCAAACATAATGAGCCCTGTGATATTTGACCTTTGACCTCGAGACCCCTAAATCTAACAGAAAGAAGAAAAGAGAGAGAGAGAGAGAGAGAGATCGAGGTTGGGGGAAGAGATCAAACTAGCTAACCTGACATGTGACAGAGAATGAGATCAAAAGGAATAAAAGAGAGATTGAGACCTAGTGAGAAAGGGGGGGGGGGGGTAGAGAAAAAGAGCTATGCAAAATTGATTGTGAATTATAATGATAAAGAATGCCTTTATAGTTGGGCCAATATAGGAATAACAGAAGATAGCACGATCATGTAACTCCCCCTTGAGCGTATAAAAACAACTATGTCTCTCACAGTAGTCATTTTTACCAAATTATTTTGCTTGGAAACTTTTACACAGTACGTCACGTTATAAAAAAAATGGCGACGCCCATTCATGTCGTGTTGAGAAACTGTACATGGTATGGTGCTCCTTGATCTGCAAAAAGCTTTTGATACAGTTAATCATTGCGTCTTATTGAAGAAGTTACAACTAATGGGTTTTGATAAGGCAAGTTTAGATTGGTTTAGATCCTACTTATCTAATCGGCACCAAGTAGTGGCCATTCATGATATTCGTTCCAAACTAATGCCTATAACTTACGGTGTTCCTCAGGGAAGCATTTTAGGCCCAATTCTATTTTCAAGTTATATAAATGATATGTGTATTTGTATAAAAGACTTCAAACTATTTTTGTACGCAGATGACAGCGTATACTACTCTATTCAAATCCTGATCCTAAATATATTGAGGAAAAGCTCAGTGAACAGCTGTCTACGTGTGTCGATTGGATGACTGATAATAAGCTTTCTTTACACTTGGGAAAAACAGAAAGCATTTTATTTTGTTCTAAAAGTAGTTCTAAAAAGTCATTTGAATTCAAAGTGACACACAATAACCAAGCAATCAAGAGAAAAGAGTCTGTGAAGTATTTAGGCATTGAGTTGGCTAGCGCAATTTCATTTTCATCTTTAGTAGAATCAGTTGTAAAAACTAAGCAAATTCTCGTCTGAAATTTTTGTACAGATATCAAAGTTGTATGGATTTAAAAGCAAGACGTACACTCTGTTTTGCTCTTATTCAATGTTTATTTGACTATGCTAACCCTGCATGGTATAGTAACATAAACAAGTCAGATCAAAAGAAGTTGAAGATTATACAGAACAAAATGGTGAGATTTATCAACTGTTCTGGTCCAAGCCTGTTGGCTACAGCGAACTTTCTAAAGCTGGTTTTCTTGAAGTCGACCAAAGATCAAAACAACTCGTATTGCATCATGTGCATAAAATATATCATACTAGGTCGAATCATTATATTCGATCCAACTTCGATCTTGTTACTGACGTACATGATTATAATACAAAAAATAGACGATTCAACTTTAACTTACCTGAAAGAGTAGGTAGTATTGGAAATTCGTTTTATTACAATGCCATAAAACATTGGAATTCCCTTCCCAATGGTGTAAAAGAAATAGGAAACTATGATCATTTTAAGAGGAAATTAAAGGAATACCTAATACTTGACAGTCAGGAAGAGAAGTGAATGACATGTTATATGATTGAAATTTTTATTCTTTTCTCGGTTCATACTTTTTCATGTTGTATATACTTTATAGAAATTTACGTTATAGAAATTCTACAAATTCATCATTATTTTCCTCTTCTTCCTTCTCCTCTTTTTCTTCTTCTCCTTCTTCTTTTTCTTTTTGTACTTAATATCATTTCTATCATCAGTTTAATGTTGTTATTATTATTATTATCTTTAATAAGTAGTTCTTTTAATTTTCTTATCTGTCTGTAAATATTACTATTTTAACTTATTAATTTTATACATGTCTGTAAGGGACCCCACTGGAAATAAGCTCTCGAGCTTTCGTGGGTTATCCTGTTCAAGCTGATCTGTTATTATTGTATATTGTTGTATGTTGGAAGCTTGTCGAATAAAAATCAATCGATCATTCTTGCTTTACACTTTGGTGGGGAATCGATCAAGAAATCAAGAAATCTATCAGATTAAGTAAAGTTTTTTTGGGGGATGAGGTTCAAAACGATCGGCCAAAGCGGAAGTAAAGCTTACTTGACATGACGTTGTAATCAACCATTTTAACAATTAATTCTTCCCTATCTACCCCCCCCCCCCCCCCCCCCCCCCGGCCCCCACTTTCCTTCTTTCTCTTTCTCTCTGGGGTTTTTTTCTCTTTCTTTTATCATGCTATAGTCTCTCCCTCTCCTTGCATACTCTCTAATTTTTTTCCCTCGAAAATTCAAAAATCGCCCCCCCCCCCCCTTGAGCACCAGGGGAGGGGGCCCGTCTCAGAATATAGGTAACATTAACGTGTTTTTACCTGTTTTCCCCAGGGGAATGGGCCTACAATAATTGCAGGACAATTGGGAATTAAAACAACATTGAATCTGATGATAGGCCTATTGATAAACAATATAGCCTTCGTTTGAAATGTGACTTCATATATGAGGTAATCATGTTGTAGGCATGCAATGTTTTATCCTAGAGGATTCCAATAAGGCTCACATTGTAAGTTAATGTTTCTAATGAAAAAAGAGAGAGATTTAGAGGTAGTCTATATAAGCTTAATTTTACCGCCGCAGACCTTTCTCATTTAAATGCCCTTTGTCCATTTGTGTAGCCCTGTGGTGAGCTGTCACTTAGCTCGTTGGTAATTGGCTTAAACTGGTGGGCGGGCCGATAGATAAGCCAATCCTACATAGCAAAGGAAAAGAGCTGGTTGCAGAGCCACGCATAACATTTACATTCACATGACGTGTATAATATGGCATAGCGATGAAAGAAAATTTTACAAGATTGCAAGTTGATAATTATAGTCCAACGTAGGCTCTCTTATCAATAAAATGTTAGCTGAATACCCAGCAATTGTCGACTACGACTTCTCCCCAATTCCAAGGTAGGTTCCTTTTGTTATTATTATATTGACGACTGTCAGTTTTGCTGTGGAAATCTGTCATATGCGAGCCGCAGAGCGCAGTCTACTTACGCCGGCCCAGCTGGCGCGGCCGGCAGCCACCGCCTGCTAGGCTCGGCGATACTCTCCAGTCTCTTCTTTTGATCAAAGGAAAGGGTGATTGAGGTTATTTAAGCATAGGCCTACAGTGGAATTATTTGCCCTATGTTGTGATATTTGTGCAAATCATGCTCCAAAAATAAATTGATAAGGTATCCTAGATACCGAATCCTAGCCACAAAATGACAAATATCAAATTCAAATTGATTGTTTTTAGTTAGGCGCTCAACGGATTTTGGATTCCTGAACCGCTCGCTGGCAATGCGAAAAATGGATTCCACGTAATAAAATACCCCTAGTCCTCTGTCTACTTTTATTGGTTGTCCGTCTTCCTGAGGATTTATCGCGACATAACATGAAAGTCTCTGTACATATGATAGTAGAGGTCTAGTCTACTAGATCTACATGTGAAATGCATCCAGAAAATTATCGCGGAATCTGTTTTTTGCATTGCAAACACGAGGATGGCGAGGAAATTGATGTGAGCGATCCTTATTCTCGGCCGAGCGCCCCTACTGTAAACGTATTGTGATTTGTGAGATTGTCTGAATGACTGTGCCTCATAATATTATAATTTAGACTAATCATTCGTTTTTCTTCATTCAAACAGCCCCCTCTTTGGTGAGGATGATAGTTTCCTCTCATGTTTCCATGGTGATGTTGAGAGGGAAGTGACGTTCAGCCTTGCCCATGGGTAAGTTGGAACGATGAAAGAGTAGCCTAGTGTACACATAATCTTTTATTCCATTTGTATACAACATACTTTGTAAGACAATATTTATATTATTAATGTGTAATGTTATTGATCTTGTGTTAGATCTAGACTATATTGTTATATTTTATGTAATCATGCTTGATACATTATGTTTTACTTGTTATTATTCTTGTTGTTAATCAACTCAAACTCAAACTCAAACTCAAGCTCATATATAAAATATGTGAAATAAAAGACCTTGGTAAGATGACAAGAAAAAAAACTATGAAAGAGTAGAAAATACAAGTAATTGTTGCCAATTTGAGGAGGAGAACCTGATTCATTTTGAGCTGCAACTTGGAACTGGGGTGGGTTAAATTTATTTAAAGGTAATACAAAGTTTTGGTATGGGGTCATGAATTTGGTTCAAATGAACATATTGGAAACATATGCGATCCTACAACATGCAGTGATCGTTGTCGCAGTTGAAATCGAGTCTAAAGTTGTGAAATTTTAGATAATAAACTCTTTATGTTGTATAGCTCCCTCTCTAGGTCAAGATATTAATTAAGCTTAAAAACAATGTTTTTTTTACTAAAATCAACCGATTAGCTAGTCCCGTTTGGAAATTATATATCACAATAACATAATCTGAGATTTTCATGGTCGCAGCTACCATTTTATGGCCTTAAGTAGTCGCTATTTGAAATTTGATATTCAATTTTTCTCAAAAGCAGAAGTGTTTTAGGGGCTAAATTTTCTAGTGCTTATAATACATCCACAGGGGCATCCAATTATACCGAAATTGTAAAGAATCACTATCCACCCAATTTTCAAAATTCCAAAAACTTTGTATTACCTTTAACTCCTTTATATTTGCTAGGTTGGATCCCTCTACCTTACTGAATGAAGAAGAAGATGACGTGAGTTCCATCTCTCCTAGCATTCACTGCTCAGAGACCCTCGAAGATCATGATGACCTACCCTACCAACTAATGGATTCTACCGATCCCCATGCAGGGATTAGTCCACCAACCAACCAGGACTATCCCATTCACAACCAAGGGGTGGATGATGAAGATGATGCTGAATTGGAGGGACTCTTTGGAAGCGTTGATTACCTGAACAGTGGCTACCTTGATCCAGTGCAAGGTATCATTTCAAGAAGGGTCAAAGCAATGGATAAAAGGGTCAAAGCTATGGATAAAAGGGTCAAAGCTATGAATAAAAGGGTCAAAGCTATGGATAAAAGGGTCAAAGCTATGGATAAAAGGGTCAAAGCTATGGATAAAAGGGTCAAAGCTATGAATAAAAGGGTCAAAGCTATGGATAAAAGGGTCAAAGCTATGGATAAAAGGGTCAAAGCAATGGATAAAAGGGTCAAAGCTATGGATAAAAGGGTCAAAGCTATGAATAAAAGGGTCAAAGCTATGGATAAAAGGGTCAAAGCTATGAATAAAAGGGTCATAGCTATGGATAAAAGGGTCAAAGCAATGGATAAAAGGGTCAAAGCTATGAATAAAAGGGTCAAAGCTATGGATAAAAGGGTCAAAGCTATGGATAAAAGGGTCAAAGCTATGGATAAAAGGGTCAAAGCTATGAATAAAAGGGTCAAAGCTATGGATAAAAGGGTCAAAGCTATGGATAAAAGGGTCAAAGCTATGGATAAAAGGGTCAAAGCAATGGATAAAAGGGTCATAGCTTTGGATAAAAGGGTCAAAGCTATGGATAAAAGGGTCAAAGCAATGGATAAAAGGGTCAAAGCTATGAATAAAAGGGTCAAAGCTATGGATAAAAGGGTCAAAGCTATGGATAAAAGGGTCAAAGCTATGAATAAAAGGGTCAAAGCTATGGATAAAAGGGTCAAAGCTATGGATAAAAGGGTCAAAGCTATGGATAAAAGGGTCAAAGCTATGGATAAAAGGGTCATAGCTATGGATAAAAGGGTCAAAGCTATGGATAAAAGGGTCAAAGCTATGGATAAAAGGGTCATAGCTATGGATAAAAGGGTCAAAGCTATGGATAAAAGGGTCATAGCTATGGATAAAAGGGTCAAAGCTATGGATAAAAGGGTCAAAGCTATGGATAAAAGGGTCATAGGGGACAAATCTCCCCCCTCCCCATCAATCAGAAACAAAGTGATAAAGAGAGAAAAAGAAAGGAAAAAGTGGAGAAAGGGAACATGAAAAGAAGATGATCTGCCCCTCTCCTAAACCCTCTGACTAGTCCAAAGCCTCATATAGTTGGGGGTGTTTCACAAAGCCCATTTTTTCAGTGACAAATAACAAAGATCAGTGACAAATCTGTTGATAACCAATCACAAGCAAGGATTTCACTAGCTTGTAACAAAAACTGTCATTTGTCACTGTTGACAAGTTTCGTGAAGCATCCCCCTGCTGATGCAAAATGAAACCATGTTTTGTGTCACTCATGGTAAATCTAGGTTTTTTAAATGTAGCCAAGTACTGTAAACAGCTGTTACAAAAATTTAAACCTTGTTTCATGTCATTGATTGGAAATCTAGGTATTAAAAAGTAGCTCAGTGCTGTTAACAGAGGTTGAAAACAATTAAAACCATGTTTCATGTCATTTAATAAAAAATAGAGTGTCAAATCAGGTTGGAGAGCCACCTGGAAATCTTGTATTTCCGCTTGTGAAGATTATGTCCAGTTCTGGCATACTTAGTCCGAAGTCTTCTAATAAATTGAAATAAAACGAAATTTGATCATTTAGTCTCTCTTGATGTATTTCAGAGCCTGTAGCGCTGGATGTTCATGATGTTCTCCCCGCAGTAGAAGAAGATTTCGATCTCGGAGGCACAGAGGAGGTCGAAGACTCCAGGTCAAAGGTCACAGATCAGTGTATACCGTCAGCATCGTCGACACCGCGGAAGAGGAAAAAGAAGAAAAAGGAAGATAAGGGCTGGTAGGTATCATAAGTGGTTATGGCTCCTATTCATATAAGTGCACTAAGTTTAACATGGGTTATAGGTACTACACATGTATGTCCCATTTGTAGCCAACATCAAATTCTGTAGAACTTTGAAGGAATTATGAACATGTCACGTGTGTCCTATCTGTGAATTTTAAACTTTAGTAGTGTCCTAGTATTCAAATTATGCAAGGAAACCTGTTTACTTTCTCAACTTCACTGTCAGACACTCTTGAGTGACTGACTGACTTCCTTTTTTTTGTTTGGTAATAACATACATAAAATGAGCTGTAAAGGGTACATGAGCATTTGTCTACATCAATAACCCAATTCTTGTAATGGCCGAAATTAAACTGAAGATAATTTCATAAAAAGATCACTTTTGATTGTTCATTTAAGAAATTGTTTCCTACCAGGTACCCACAGAGGCAAATGTAGATCAATGTTCGGCTAAAAGCACTGCTAAAGAAAATCAGTCACTGGTTTCCATGGCCCGGAAAAGATATGGGGCGACAAAGGTTGTATTATATAAGCTCTGATGATTGTTCTGCAGTCAATTTCTAATACCAACTAAATCCCAGACTTCTTCCTTGAAAAAAAAAACCTTTAGGTAACTCTTAGATCTTTATTTTGAGAGATTGTTATCCTTTCTTCCCTCTAAACCAGGAGTGAGATGGATGCAGAAGAGAAGGAAGAAGTTGCTGAGCACCTGTCTTCAGTGCTACAATCCCTCCTTGGTCCACGAGAACGGTTAGAGGTCATGGCTATGTTCTCACAAGACATGCTCAATGAAAGGAATTTAGTAATAGGTATGAGAAATGATAACATTCTATAATCTCACAAGACATGCACAGTGAAAGGAGTGTAGTTATAGGTACAGGGCTCAAATTATTTTTTTGTCCACGGGGGCTCTTCCAAAGAAAAAAAAAAGCCCCCGTGAGCCTTCTCACGGGGGCTCTTTTAGTGCTGACAGGGGCCTTTATTTTAATGCAAATTTCCATTGAATTGGTACCCATGAAACTCCTAAGTTTCTTGGTATTTTATCATTATCATTTATTTAAGTCGGCATTTTACCTCTTAGAAATTTACTTGTTACATAGCTGTTATTGACTTTTATCCCCGTGATGACATTCTTTCCATGTCGCCCCTTTCTGCTCATTATAATTCATCCTCATTATTCGGAGCAACCTTATTTACATTCTTTTTTACTTTTAGTCTTTACCATATCCTTCCAAAACACAGGGGCGGATCTAGCTTTTCGCTAAGGGTGGGGGGGGGGGGGTAACCCAAATACGATGTGGAGCATCGTCCACGAGCCACGTAGCGGCGAGGCGATTTTTGTTCTTGCTATTTTGAACCCCCGTAAGTGATGTTTTCCTGGCATCTACTAACATGCGGAGCATCGTCCATGAGCGGCGAGGCGATTTTTTTGTGCTATTTTGAACCCCCGTTAGTGATGTTTTCCTGGCATCCAATGACATCTACGAATACTGTGTAGGTCTGGACACATGATGGCATTTTTCTATCCACATCACATTTTCTCTTGGCAGCCCAAGGTGGGAGGGGGCGGGGGGGGGGTTAAACCCCCTAAACCGCATAGATCCGCCCCTGCAACATCTTTGGTCTTCATTTTCTTCTCAATATTGCTTTACCGGTCGAGTTACATTATTTGCTGGTCTTTTAGAACCACCAGATTTCAGAGGATTCACACTTTTCACAACGAACAACTTTTTCCGTTTCAGTCCTTGCGCGATCGTCTCCAGCTCCAGCAGATATTGGGAGTCAGCGTGCACACCGGTAATACCGGCGCAGTATAGCCACTGCTGACGGCCGCACTTGCTGCAATGCGAGCTTCCGTTGTTTGTATCGGTAATACTCATATGGATGGGAGAGAGAGCGCCATCTAAGTTTCATTTCATTGGTTTAAGGTTTGAAAATTGATACTCAATTTCCTGTTAAAGTTATATCATAAAACATAATCTATATTCTATAATTCCACGGGGGCGATTTTTAATTTTGCAATCGTCAGGTTGCTCACGGGGGCGATTACGGAGCTCACGGGGGCGAATCGCCCACCGCCCCCGTGTATTTTGAGCGCTGTATAGGTATGAGAAATGATAACATTTTATGATTTCATAGGTATGAGAAATGAGAACATTCTGAGGTCTCACAAGACATTGTCAATGTATGGGTATGAGAAATGATCAATTCAATGATTCCAGAGCCTTGCAGTACAAACTAATAGTTTACTTATATGCTACATGATCAACTTTTTTCTGATCCATTTTCCCCGTTTTTATCAGAAACTCGACCTTCTTTTACACTGTTTAAACCTTATTTGCTAGAATCTCATATGTTGAATGAAACGACCCTAGCAAAGCTTGAAACCTACATCGAGAAAGTGATAACATTCTATGTTCTCACAAGACATGCACAACGAAAGGACTACTGGTATAGTTATAGATAATGATAAATGATAACATTCTCTGATTTCATAGCATGAGAGAGTATAACATTCTATGATTTCATAAATGTGAGAAATGCGAGTAAGAAAGGAGTATACTTATATGCCACATGATAAACTTTTTCTGAAGGATTCCACACCGTTTCTTTCACAATGCAATTGCATGACCAGAACTCAACTTTATCTTCAATTTTCCCCATCTTTATTAGAAACTCAACCTTTTTTTATTGTTTAAACCTTATTTGCTAGAATCTCATATGTTGAATGAGTCAACGCTAGCAAAGCTTGAGACCTACCTCGAGCAACAGGAGGTAACCGGAGAGGCCAGCGACTCCGAACTCATCTCAGAACCAGAGAGGATGCGAAGCTATGGCAACACAACCAAGAGAAAGTGCTCCAGTCTGCCTGCATCACCGCAGCATAGAGGGAGCTTTTCTGAAAAGACGCCCTCTTTAGATGTCAAGAAGGTGAGTTTAAAGGCCCACTGCAGTACTTATAGGTACTTGCTCCCTCTATATAGCAAACAATACCTAATTGGGGCCTGTTGGTCTTCATGATCCCCTTTTTCTTATGTTAATTGAGAGCCGACTTGATGAGACGACCACCTGTCAGTGAGCTTGCTGGGTTGTCTAATCCCTTCTGGCCGAACTAGTACAGAAGGCCTTTAAAGGCATATTGTTTAACAATGTTTCCAGTTTTACAAATCTGAGATGCATGACCCTACGTGTTATCAGTGTCTGTGATATGGTGTAATATAGAAGCGCTAGTGCCCTTTGGCATGGCATTAATTTTCATTACCTAGTTCCTTGTAGAGGACTTAAAGCCATCGATCCCCTGATTGCTTACTTACAAGCATACACATGCTCTCTTTATAAAGATTATCATGCATGGGTACATAGTCGTTCTTGAAGTAGGGAACTTGGCGATCACTCCCGATCACTACATAACACTGAGCCCATAGGTATTACGCTCCTGTGCAGCCCTCTACATACCCACACTTGAGCAACCTTAATAGCAGTTGGGTCAAAGAAACATGCCAACCAACCTTTAACTATTATGTTTTCATTTTTATCTACCAACTTCTTGGACATCCCATGAGTACCAGGGCACACTGTGGCGACCATAACTGGTTTTTCTGTCTGTACATTTTGTTAGTGAAATTTTGTTTCTGTGTCTTCATTTTTGTCATTTTGACTGTCAACATGCTTTACTCATCCTCACGAACAGTTATGGCTAGTTTTCTGAAAATTCTGGTTCTTGGAACTGTGTTTCTGACCACTTTCAATTTGGAAACTGAACCACAAAGTTGATGCTCGAATTTTCACTTGAAATGGTAACATACATGTAGATGCAGTCTATGTTTATGTTTAGACGGCAATCAATGCATTATGTTGTTCTGTTTCCAATGTTATGTGACGATGTACATTTACTATTATTGTATTATGTATTTCTTCTTGTATTATGTAACATACATGACAATGACTATAAAACCAATGAAAAATGAATTTCTTGAAAGGGACAATAACATTTCAATTCAATTCAATTCAATCAGCGATCTGGTCCACGGAAGTCTCTACGCGGCTGGAAACGAAGAACTCGTAAAGATTACCGACAAGCCTCTAAGGAGAGGAGAAGTGGACTGTTCAAGAAGGAAGAGGTGAGATATTAAACATCTTGTTTTGTGAGGGACAATCCAAGGTGGTATTGAACAGTGTTTTGTGGTATGATATTTAAAGCAGGACACCACTCTTAAAGGGAAGGTTGAGTTCTGGTCATGTGATTGCATTTTGAAAGAAAAGGTGTGGAATGGATCAGAAAAAGGTGATCATGTAGCATGTAAGTATTGGTTTGTAGTCTTCGTACTGCAAGGTTCTGGAGTCATCAAAATCATAATAAATTTGGCCCAGTCTTGGTAAAGTAACAAGCACTGTACACAGAAAGATATTTATGGGACTGCACAAATTGTGTTGGGGTTACCTACCTTGATTTCCTTATCTTTCCATGCTAATTACTCAGCCTGTATACGTTTTCTACCAAAATTGTTTGGCAATTGACATTTATTTGTAATCTTGAACATTCAGTGTAAGTTTCGTTTGATTCTGTGAGAATTCATTTTCTTTTTTTTTTTTACCAGAAACCAAGTTTATCTTTAATTCCTTTAACCCTTACTGTACTGGGCTATTTTGAGCACCCACTGACTGGGGGGGGGCCTGGGAGGCCCCCCCCTATGATCTCGGCCGTCGATTGTCCGATGAACACGAAAATTTGCATGTTTGTAGATAATTACGTAAGGAACAAGATGGTATAATTAGTTTTTTCCGAATATGCAAATTTTTGTCGTTAGCCTAATTAATTATGCAAAATGCACTAATTTTATGCATTTTACCGAAAACGTGTCAAACTCCACTTTTTGAATGTTGAAACTAATTATTCATATGAAACTTCTTTTCTAACACAAAAAAGTTATTTTAATGTAATTAATAATGATAATTTATGCAAATTTTGATGCGATTTTCATTTTTTTTTTTGTTTCTTTGATGACATGCGCATACTAATTGTTATGTAACGCCTTACAGGTATATCCGATTTCGACGAAAATGGTATCAAAATGTGCGTAAGACTTGAGGGAAAAAAGTCATGAAACGACAATTCAAAATTCCAAGCGGTTGCGGCGCGATCTCCGAAAATGTCGAGGGGGGGGCCTCCCAGGCCCCCCCCCAGTACAGTAAGGGTTAAAAAAAAATTTAAACGAACATTCTTTGAAATGTTTCCCCCAAAACGATTTGATCCTGCTATATCATTTGATGAATTGTTTACATTGTGGAAAATTCAGCATTTGCTCTTAGACCTCTGAAAAATTCATTTATGTAGATGTAGGGACTGTCCCCCCCCCCCCCCCCCCCCCCAAAAAAAAAAATAAATAAATAAATAAATAAAAAAATAAATAAAATAATAATAATAATAATAATTAAAAAAAATAGTAATAATAATGAAATTAAAAAATAAATAAATAAAATTAAATATATATCTATTTATATATAAATGAATAAATTCAAACTAAATGAATAAATAAATAATACATAAATAAAGAAAAATGTTGTTTAAACAGAAAGAAATAAAGAATACACAAAATTAGCTTTCATTCAGCTTACCCTTACCCAAAGCTTGAGGTTAACTTGACACCAATATTTTCTTTTGGGACCTCAAATTATTGTTTGAGCACAGATTCCCTGTTTTTCTTTAAGTGTGCAACCCTGTGTGATGCTATATATCTATAATGAAAGAAAAACCCCAAGCAATGTCATTAATATTTAAAGAAGAGTTATGTGTATAACCTGTATTTTTTTGTTCTTTTCCTTCTCTTCTTTGGCTCTTCCTCACCTCTTTTCCCTTCTTCTTCTTTTTCTCCTTCTTCTACTTCTGCTTCTCCTTTTTCTTCTTCTCCTCATTCCTTTTCTCATTCTTTTTCATTTTCTTCTTTTCTTTCTTCTCCTTCTGCCTCTTCTTCTTCTTTTTTTTCTTCTTCTCCTCGTTCCCTTTCTCATTCTTTTTCATTTTCTTCTTCTCTTTCTTCTCCTTCTTCCTCTTCTTCTTTTTGTCTTCTCATTCCTTTTCTCATTCTTCCTCCTCCTTTTTCTTCCTCTTCTTCTTTTTATTTTTCTCATTCTTCTCGTTCTTCTTCTCTTTCTCTCCTTCATCTTATTCTTCTCCTTCATCTTCTTTTTCCTCTTTCTTCTTCTCCTCCTTTTTCTTCTTCTCATTACTTTTCTCATTCTTCTTCTTCTTCTCTTTCTCTCCTTTCCTCTTCTCCTCCTCCTCCTCATTCTTCTTCTCCTTCTCCTTATTTCTCTTCCTCATTCAGGTCATCTCATTATCACAGAGTATAGGAGAGGAGGAAGAAGATACAGGAGAAGAAATTGATATATTAGCCTAGCAACTTAGATATAACTTCTAGATTATACAGCCATATACAGTCAAACCTGTCTATAGTGACTGCCCAAGGGAAATACAAAAAGTAGTCTTTGTAGACAGGTTCCTACAGTGCATGTTTCAATGAGAAACCATTTTCGAGGGAAATAAAAAATGTGGTCTTTGTAGACAGGTGGTCACTAAAGCAGGTTTGACTGTATTTGCATAAGTGTGTGGATGATAGATCCTAATACCTTGGATAAAGGAAACCTCTTAAACTGATAACAGTTGACTAAATATGATTCAACAAGCCGTTTGTCTGTCTTCTTTTTTTAAATAATTTCTATATACATCCCTTTCAGGAAGGGGGTGTTTTAGGACTCAATTTATCACATGTTATTCTTCAAATTGGCAACAATAATATTTTATATTAATGCAACATTCTTCGAATAAAATGCAATTTATACAGTAGGCTTGCGGTTGCACCATGAGAGAGAAGGAGGGTACATCACCATGCAAGCCGATACTTGTGAGCAGCATCTAAAATGCAATTTGTCTAAAAACAATATAAATGGATTTAATTTCACTGAAAAGTTGAAAAAATACAAGAGTTTGAACCTTCCAGCATGTTGCCAATTAAAGGATTTTAAAGCTTTTTTCCTCAAACAAAATAAGGTCATGGAACAAATACTGACACAATACGTACACAAATTTTTGCTCTTTCTTTTAATGCATTTGGAATTATATTTTAGGGCTCTGAATTTTGAAGTTACTGAGCGAAACTGCAAAATGTGGAATGCTTGCCCTGAAAGGGATATAGCTTGACATAATTTTGTGTTTGGAAACAAATATCTTTACTTTATTCCCCCGACACTTTGAGACACATTCTGAAAACTATGCTGATCTTTTATGTTAGTGAAAAGTATGTTCATTGTTGTATCAAATTGAAGTTGTGCGGGAGAACATTCGTCTTCTGTGCTTTGCAGACTCTAACAACCTGTGGCGAGATAGACTTGTTATAGCAATTGGTTTTCTTTCAGTTACCTCAGTAACATGGTACTAATACTTTGGCCCAAATCCACAGAGTAGGTTTATCTTTATCCAAGGTTGGAGTTCCCAGTGCAGTATGCACTTACAAATTTAACTGCCTTTGTGCATTCAGGCGACAAATGGAAATGTGTTTCCATTGTGTAAGATTATTTCAAGGGTTCAGTGACACAAAGACGTAACTCCATATTTTGCCAAAATGAGTATTTGATATCAAAATGTTCAGAAAAATGTGGGCTTTCCAGGAAACTTAAAGACTTAACTCCACCCAACACCCCATTGAAGTCAATGGCTAGTGAAACATAGACTTAACTCCTTAAGGCCCAAGTGCTCAGGGACACATAAACCACTTTTTCTCAAAATGTCCAAAATGGAGTTACGTCTTTGTGTCACATTTTATTTGTAGACCGAGGCAACATTGTAATATTATTGAATATTTTATTTTTAGAAACTTCACTCTTACATGATCCTTGGTGTTTTTTTTCCCATTACCAAATGAATGATGAAAGTAAATGGTTCTATCGTCTCAGGGTTAAACAAGAGTTTCCCATTATTGTAAATCTTAAGCATGTCTGCACTAGTTTGGCCAGAAGGAATTAGACCTCCCTGTATGGTCACTGACAGGTGGTTATTTCATCAAATCAGCTCTCAATTAACATAAGAAAAAGGGGATTCTGGGGGACTAACAGGTACCGCTTAGGCATTGTTTGCTATATACATGTAGAGGGTGCAAGTAGGTACCGGTACTTCATGACCATTTCATGCTACAGCAAATTTCCTTTAAGGTCTGAAAATACTTTTTGAGTTGCTATGCCTACAGGTTTACTTCTTCATCAAAACAGTGTTCTTTAAAAAGGGAGGTGGGGTTCTATTTAAACACTGTTTTAAGTTGACCCTAACAGGACAGGAATTTTTTTCAGGGCTAAATTGATGAGATATGATTCTTCAAATTGCAGCAGTAACATTTTTTCTTGCAATGCTACATTTTTAAAATAAAATACAATGTCTCTGAATAAAATATGGGTATAGATTTTGCAGAGAAGTTGACAAAATTAGCAAATTTCCATCAAAAATCAATAAGTTTGTACCTCCTAGTGTGTTGCCAATTTAATGAATTCAAAACCTTTGTTTTTTCCTTTCTGAAATTCCTGGCCTTGAACGCATTGTGGTTATTTATGCAACAATAATTGACAAAAATAAGTGCATAATTTGATGCCCTTTCTTTTCATGCAATTGGTATATTTTTGTAAGCGCTCTAAATTACAACTTACTGAGCCAAACCACATAATGTGGAATGCTTGTTCAGAAAAGGATATCGCAGCAACATTCAGATAGTTGGACTTGAATTTAATTTTCATTTACCAACAAAATGTATTTTTTATTTTCTTGCCCAAACACTTGAAACACATTCTGAAACAATAATAATGCATCTTGTATATTTTATAGCACTCTAAATCAAGTTATGGAGCCAAACCGCAAAATTTGAAACCGCCTGGAAGGCATTGAATTTACACTTACATGGGGTAAAAATTCTGACAAGGAATGTTGACAGGGTCATCGGTCCAAACACATTGGGACCATCATGATAGAGATATCCAAGTTGAACCATTTGGTTTGTCTGTTTTGTTTGCTGCAATCTATTTGAATTTTATTATTTTCTTCTTCATTTGAACCGTTGTAGTGCCTCTTGTTTTGATGCAGAGAAATAGAATGGTGAAGTGTGACGTCATTAAAATTCTATTTTTAGAATTTCTCTTTTTTTTTTTTCTTCATTTTCCGAAAGAACATCAAAAATAATGTCCAAATGTCGAAAGCCAATTGAATATCATTATCATTATTTTGCTCTGGTTCATAACATTACGAACCAGAGCAAAATAACACTGAGCTCCTATGAAAATCTTTGTATTCAGATGGTCATATCTCAGCCAATACACAATATATTCAATTGGCTTTTGACATTTGGACATTATTTTTTTATGCTCTTTCGGAAAATGGAAAACAAATTGAGAAATTCCAAAAATAGATTTTTATGATGTCACAGCTTCGGTACTCTACAGGCATCGATATAGTATTTATGAATTTGAACTATTTGAGTTTCACATATTTCAATCTTATGTAAGATTTAGCAAAGAATAATGCATTTATTGATGAATGAATTCAAACATTTTCTGTTTCATAACATGATTTCTTTTTCCATTCATTATTTTTGTGAAAATGATGTAATGATGATTTATTGAAAGATGAACATTCTAAGCAAGAATTAAAAAAGAGAATTTTATAAATTAGAACACAACTTATTGGCAGTGTGATTTTTTTCGTATTCAAGTGGTTATTTGAATGGGTTGAATAGAAGTATTTGATGTGTCAGGAGGAAAGAGATAAGGAAGATGGGAGTTGGTCTGCTGTATGCCTTTGACTACAAACTGGCTCAGACGACCCCGGTTCGAAACTGAGTTGCGTCTTTCGGATGGTGACGTTAAAGGTCGGTCCCCAGGCACAAATCATATCTCATTGTCAAAAATACACTCTGTAAAAAACCAATGACACACACACACCAAGACAAGATTGTACGGTCAAACCTGCTTTAGAAATCGACTTTCCATAATGACCACTTTTTTGTTGTTTTCCTTGAAACATGCACTCAAGGAACCTGTATATAAAGACCACCTGCCTGTAAATGCTGTTTTTCTTGTCTCCCTTGAGTGGTCTTTATATACAGGTTTTTACTTTAGTACACTGAAGATATAACTACGAACATACAAAAAAACTACATATTGCTGATTGTTTATATTTAACCAATCCATATGGTTTGTATTTATTGACACAAATAAAGACTAGAACATATTGCAATGTTTTAATTGAATAGAATCAACGCTCTCGGTATAAACAATCCAGTGTTATGTCAACATACATAGTGTGAAAGTCAGTAACCCCTCGTAAGAGGGAAAATGCCCACTTAAATGATGACGATGATGATAACTGGACATGTTTAGGTTATTCAATTGGATGAGAATGTGATATTCACACATTGTGACACATAATTAAGTCTTATACAGTAGACCTCAATACATATCTTGTAAAGAGGCCCCTCTGCCTTCCAACAACATTTATTTGCTTTATTGAACCATATCGATAGTCTCTTTAATGTCTTCATTGAATTGTATAATGTTAAAATATTACAATAATAACAACTTCCAATGTTTGGACACTACCTTGAGACCTTGCCCTACAGAATAAGAAATGGTAGGACAGCTTGTTAAAAGACAGTCCGTAGTAATGTTTGTGTGCACCTTAGCCGCGCAGGGCAAGCTGGTTACATGTATGTTTTCACTATGCACAATGATGGGAGTTCCCGGTGGATGTTTCACAAAGACTAAGATCGACTTTAAGTGGGACTTAACTATGGCACCGTTTGCTCTCACCATTATGATATTTAGATAGAATTATCAACAAATGTAAATTCTGTAGATGTGGGACCATGATTTGCCAGAAAATGGTGAGAGATATTAACAGTAGCATGAACGGCCTGCCATAGTTAAGTCCAACTTAAAGTCGATCTCAGTCTTTGTGAAACACCCCCTTGGTTTTGTGCAGAGTGAATACATGATCAGCTGGCCCTATGCAGCTAGGGTGCGCACAAATATTATAGTGGAAAATTCTCTATGCTTCTACAAGACATGTAGCCCTCTACCGATCATTCATGTACTACATTCTGCACCTAACCTGTAATATGAATACACATTTTCAACAGATCCCAGCCCATGTAACACGTGGCTTAATATTATAAAAGTTGAACACTTGGGCCCGAACTCAGAGGAGATTTAACTTCACCCACGGTTTAAAAATTAGCGCAAATGAGCGTACCTTGCCTTGTGTGCGTCTAATATTGGACATCTGACTGTCACGCTTATTTTGCACTTATTTTGCGCTAATTTTAGACCACGGGTTATGTAAATGAAGATTTAAACCTCCTTTGTGAATTCGGGCCTTAGTGAGTGTACTGAATTAGTATTATATTATATTATGCACAGTTTTATAAGAAAAGCATAGAAGAGAGAAATACAGCATTTAATTA